ATTTGGGACAGGTTAAAGGTTATCTGTGCAGTGGTGCAGACTCCTTGTATTTGGGACAGGTTAAAGGTTATCTGTGCAGTGGTGCAGACTCCTTGTATTTGGGACAGGTTAAAGGTTATCTGTGCAGTGGTGCAGACTCCTCTTTGAGCTGCTGCTTTGTCATCCCCAGGTGAACGCACTAGAGAACCAGCTGAGGTGGCAGCACAGGAACACCAGCACACAGGGACAGGTCAAGAAAACTGGAGACAAATGGAGAAAAAGATGACCGTGTTGCCTCTTTGAATAAGGTCAGTGTGTTTGTTCTGGGCTGGGGTCAATGTGGATTTGCTGAGTGTGCAATGGGACACCTCAGCAGTGTTCACATGCAGGAGAGGATGTTGCAGAAAGGAATGGAGCAATGTGGTGATGAATGGGACATGAAGTAATAGGCTTAAGTGCAGCAGGTTAGACAGTCATTTCTGCTGGTAATGATTAGTGACTCACAGGAATGAGTTGTCTGGGGACGTGGTGGCGTATCCATTCCTGGAGGTCTTTTAAGAACTGGTTTGGCAAAGATGGGGAAAGACATAAGTATAGGATGGACCAGGTGGGATGGGTGAGGTCTCTCGGGCCTGTTCTCCTGGGACTCTGGGTAGGTTTCTTCTAACAACACTTAATATTATAACCCCAAATCCAACAGCCTCCAAAGGACCTTTGTGGGGAGAGATATCACACAGCTCAGTGATGGAGTAGATGGACTGGTTCCTCCCCAGGGTAACAAGGACATCTGGGCAGATGGAGCAATCCATCATTTGCTTACATATTGGCAGAGATTTCCCCCTCACCATCTGAGTCACTGTGCACTTCTCTTCTGGAGGCACCAGTCCCCTGTTTGCTCAGCCCCAGCCAGGGCAGCACAACTGTGAGGTGTGTGTGTAAAGTCCCTGTCAGCGCCTGCCAGCCTGGGGACTCCAGCTGCTGCTCAGCAGTGGCAGGGTCCCGGCAGGGAGCTGCCAGACCTCTGCTCCAGGTGTTCAGGGGCATGGAGAGCACAGCCTGAGCTCCCTTATCCCGCTTTCCATGGAGATCCCTACAGCCTTGAGAGAGAGGGTGAACAGCTTGCTGGCACCTGCCAGTCTGGAGAAGGTGGTTAATGGTTTTTATGTGTTGCAAATGATTACTGCAGGGACAGGAGCAGGGGAGATAAGCAGTAAGTGCTGTTCTGCCAGGCAGTCTGTACTAGAAGGAGCATCCTCTGGAAGTTAGATGACAGGATGGGGCAAGCAAAGGCTGGCCTGTGCTGATAATCTCAGCGGAAAGCAGAAGGAGAAGCCTAGAGGCTGGCCAGTTTTCCAGCATAATTAGGTGTGTTGGTCCCTATAGATTTTCCAGTCAGTGATTCTGCTTTACAAGTGTGACATAGAGTGCAGTGTGACATATGAGTTGGCTTTTCCTTGCTATCATTTCAGATCCTTGAAAAGCACTTTAGGGTTTACGGGGTCCCTGAAAAGTATTACTGTGTGTTTAAAGGGTTTTCCTGCTGCAGTCCTACATGCTCCAGACCAGCCAGGCACTGCACAAACAGCTCTCTCTGCCTCCAGCTGCCTCCCACAGAGCTTTTCTGCTTTCTTGTGCCATTTCAGGTGCCCTGTGACCTGCACTCCTGCTCTCCACCAACCACTCCAACCCACTCCTATAGGGCTCAGAAAGCCACCACAAGACCCCACGAAGCTCTGCCTCCTCTCACACCTCCTGTGCCACTCCCCATCCCAGGACCACTGTACTTTTGCCTGTATTGAATCCTCTGCACTGACTGTCCACGAGCCCCTCAGCCCCTGGATCCTTCCTGCCTTTGTCAGCCTCCTGGGGATGGGCTCTGCCCTGGATAGTGACAGCCCAGAGTCTGCCAAGATGCCTCTTTCTTCCACAGCCCCCAGGGGAATGGAGACTAATTGAAGTTACTTTAGTACCCCTTTTCTGCTCCTCTTCCCACGCACCACTGTCGTCACCCACCACGTCTGAAAATTCCTATGGGCACCCAACTGAACCAATTTATTAAGAGGTAAAACCTTCCTCAAATACACTGTGGTGTCAGGAAACGTCTGGAGAAATCAGGAAAAAAGAAAAGATAAATAAACAGGAAGCCCAAACCCCCATCCATCTTCTGATGCCATCAGAAAGACCAAGTGGAACCTCAGGACTGGGTTTGGACTGGGCTTGCAGTCCCTGCCAGCGGTGAGGAAGTGACCCAAAGCCCAGGGAAGTCTTCTGGATGGTTGGATGCTTCAGGACAGGGTGCCAGGCATGGTGTGGCTGCCCACAATCACCCTCTGTGCTTTGCCAGTCATTGGTGACAAGTGGCACATCCTTGGTTATGTGACCCCTCGAGTGACCTACTGTTACATGTCCAATGTCCAAAAGCATTTTCCTCAGCATGACCTGCATTCCCCAGCTCTCTGCCCCTTTCAGAGTTTAATTGGAATTATGTTTCTCTTCCCTTTTTTTCCCTCCCAAAAGGCTCTTTGCTGGAAGATGTATTTCAAATGTAAACGTAACAGGACCTGGAACAGAACCTCAGCTAATTAGATGTAATGGGCACTCTCATTAGTGGAGGGGAGCTGCTGGTTTCTGTCAATTAGGCTGGCAGGACACGCTGTAGTGTTTGACACATGGGTGAATGCAAAGTGCTGTTTGTGTTTATGGCTCCCAGGTGCTCTGCAACCAAACCAGGACTGTGCAGCCAGATCTACAGCACACGTCTTCTGGTTTCACTGCTCTTTGGAGGTGCTTTTTAGTGGTGCTAGAACTCAAGTCCCTGTGTATCCACCACAGCCCCAAATCTGTGGACAGATTGGTTTTTAATACCTCCTTGTAAGCTGGTCACAGGGACTTGAAGATAAAATACTTGATCCATCAGATATCTGTGCCTTCCTTATCTTTCTTACTTTTCCTGTGTCCTCCCACCTGCCTTCCCACAGCACGAGGACCAGAAACTTCTATGAACATGCTTTTTCTTCTTTATTTTTTTTTAATTTTATTTTTAGGTGTTTTATAGTACCAAAGGGGATTTAAAGCAGCAGGAATGCTCCTGGAACTTAAGGGGAAAATAAAAAGAAGATAACTAGAAAGTGGTCGTGATTTATCATCTCTTTCCTGGCGTGGGACTGAGCTATGCATGTGTGCCCTGTGCAGACAGAGGTTTGCAGGGATGAGTCTGTGTTGTGCATGTCTGGTAGGTTCAGCTCAGAGGCAGTATTTAGTCCTCAGGGATGTTTGTCATTTTGAAGTACTCTTTCATTTAGGTGCAAATCAACATCCAAAGCCTTGCGTGTTATAAATCAGCTGCACTTGTCTATCACTTGTACCACTAGAGAATCTAATTTGGCAAAGGTCAATAAAGGTAAATCAGTCTCCAGTCTCCTGCACACCAGAAGTCCTCTTTCTAAACACTAAGGCATAGACATTCCGTGCTGGATCTTATCAGCAATGCATAACCAAGCAGCCTATTTTGCTCCTGATGGAGCGTGACATGAGGAGCAGACTTGTCACAAGTGCTGCAGAAGGACAGCAGAGGGGATGTCCCTTCCCTTTGGGTTGCAAGTCCTTCTGTGCTCCATCCCCAGTTCCCTTCCTAATGCTTAGGTGGGAAAAATGCACAGAAACATTACACATGCCTGTGTGGCACTGAGGACAAGGCATTTTTGCAGGTTGTTTGGCCATTATGGGACACCCAGGATGCAGGACACAGCAGATCTAGAGCTTCTGGCCCAGGGATGGGTTCAGCTAGTTCCTCATACACCACCCAGTTGCAGTCTGCAGCCCAGACCCCTAAAATTAACTTCTTGTATTTCTTTTTGAGCAGCCTCTTTCAAATCCCAACTACACACCCAAAATGAGCTACCCAGACCAACTGCAAGAAGAGTAGGATCAAAATAATGGTCTCAGAGCCAGGAGTGGATTTACCAGGCACAAAACTCCCACTAATTAGATGGAAAAGTTAGATGACAAAGTTCAGGCAGGGGTTGGGGGGTTGCAATTGGGATTTCTCACCAGAGCAGTGATGTTCAGGTTGCTTCAGGAAGATGTGAGGGGGGAATCTGTCCTTTGGCTGATGGCTGTGGTTGGAGCATGTCAGTGTCTGAGTGTGACCAGGTCTGGGGGAGGGTGGGTGTGCTGACACATCCGTAGCTGGGAGTTGTGTGCCAGGGCTCAGCTCTGGATGCCTTGCAGGTGCCTGAGGCTGATCCAACCCCTGCATCAGGCAAGGACCTTCTGAGACTGGACAGGACCCACCTCTGGTGGAGGCTGAGTGAGCAGCAGATCCCAGTGGAACTGGGAAGGGACAGGACCCTAGAGGTCCTGTGCAAGGGAGAATTAGTGGGAGGAGGTAAATATTTTAGTGTGGTAACGCTGGGAGGTCATTGTAGACCGAACGAAGAAAGGATCCTGTGTTATAAACCCCACAATATCCACCCAGGAAATATCCAAACACTTCAGATCTCTTCTGAAGTTATTTCCTTAATTCAGTTTTAACTCCCGCGCGTTTGCGGATGCAATTATTGTCCTATGGAAAAAAGAAAATATCCTCCCACACAAGTGAGATGAAGAATATTAGCTGGAGTCAGCCACTTGTGACAAGAGCTGCTTGAAGAACAGAGAGCTGTGTTTATGGTGCTCTGGTAACAAGCGAAGAGCACACTTTAAAATAATTAATAGATAAAACAACAGCCGTTCTCCTTCTTCGAGAGCGGCGAGCCCCGCTCCAGCTGTGCCTGTCTCCCAGATGTGCCCGTGGGTCTGAGCGTGAGACTCCTGCCTGCAGACTCATCCCGCCTGCAGACTCGTCTCACCAGATGAACCAGTTTCACTTTCAGAAATAGGAAGTTCGCCGGGAAGGGCCGGCGAGCGCCCAGACGCGTGCGAAGAACGCGGGGCGGCAGGATGAGCTGCCCGGCCGGCGGCATGAGCCCGGGATCACCTCTTCCTCCGGCCCCCCGAAGCGCGGTGGCATAGCCCACCGCACCCACCGCATCACCGGGGATGGAGCAGTTTGTCAGGAAGCGCTTGAGCTTCCTGACATCCTTCTGGAACAAGCTCCGTCCCCGTGCCGTGACGGAGAGCTGCTCCCTGGGGTATCTTGGTTCTGATTCCGTTTCGCTGCACTCGGAGCCGAACTCCATTTCCTTCATCCCCAAGTCTTCTCTCTGTATCGCTTTATACGCTTTCACAGCCCGGAGCTCCGAGGAACTGAGCGTAAGCGCAGGGGACAAACTGCGTGTCCTCAGAGAAGAGGGGGAGTATGTGTTAGCCCGGCGGCTGCTTGGGGAGCCGGCCATGGGCTACGTCCCTGCTGCCTACGTGGCCAACCTCAGCCAGGGCACCTCAGCTCACCGCCCGTAAGTATTCGATGCTCTGGATCCCTAGGGGGATGGGGCTGGACCAGGGTAGCACATCCCTGTGCAAGGAAAGGAAGCGCTCATTCTCCGCAGCGATGGGGACAACGAGCTCCTCGTCCCCTGCTTTTGCCATCAGTGGTGCTGGGACTGAGCGGGGATCTACCTTGCCCTGGGCATCCCGGTCCTGGAACTCCTGCAGCTCGTGGTAGTGTGGTGGAGAGGTATTTGGCACAGCAAGAGAGATTTGGGGGATGTGCCAAGGGGAAGAGGTGCCGGTGCCCCTTCCCGGCCGCATCACCCTCGCACAGGATAGGGTGTTTCTGGGCTGGGATGCGGTGTGGTGGTGGGCACAGGTTGCAGCTATGGTGCCAAATAAACAGGCTCCTACTTGCTCCGGCTGCTCTCTCTCTTGTCCTGCATTAAAGGGGAAGCAGCAGGGAGGGCGGGAGGGAGTGAGCTGAGAAAACTTGTACCTGAGCCCTGCTAGCTCCAAAGGGCTCGGGAGCATGGGAGGAAGCAGTTTCGGTTGGTACGAGCCAGGAAGCCCAGAGATGTGTAGGGCCAAGATGTAGTGCTACCGCTGCTGCCATCTGGCTCCTGCTTATCCGGAGCTGGGGGCTGCCTCCCTGTCGGTGCCTCTCCCAGCCGACACGGAGCTCGGGGTGATATCTCAGCCGTCTGTCAGCTGGGGAAAGCCCAGGTTCATCGTTGCATAAGGCAGCCTGGTCCCGACACGTCGGGCAAAGCGCCCCGAGACACTGCTGTTCCCTCTGCTCCTGGCCCTGAGTCACGCCGAGTGCCGGGGAGCGCAGGGCTGGGGCGGGTGTGTCCCTGGAGACCCCTGCGCTGGCCCTGTGCTGTGTGAGTGGGGGTGAAAGAGAGGAGCGGGAGAAGCCTGGGAAGGGTCCCCAATGCGAAGAGGCAATGCTGGCAGCCGGTGGGATGGCAGAGACCTTCCCTGCGTGAGCTTTGAGGGGACAGTTGGACAGGCTACAGCGGAACGTGTGTTTGTGTGCACATGTATGTGTTTGTGTGCACGTGTGTGTGCACCAGCCGTGCACAGCTGGTGCCCAGCCCCGTCCCGAGGACAGGGGTGAGGAGGATGCAGAGGCTGGGAGGGCGGATGGCAGTAACGAGCACACAGACTCCGCGGAGCCGCAGGTCGGAGCTGGGTGGTAATTTGTTCAGCTCCTGTAACCCCATCACATATAATTTCCTGCACGGCTTCTCAGACGCTGGCGATCCCAGCTAATGACAAAACCTTCAGCTTCTCACGTCTTGGTTGCCTTAGGCTGGATGGGGTTCCACACGCTCCCGTGCATCCCGCTGCATCGGGACGCAACCAGCCAACCTGCCTTTCCTTGATGGGGAGTCAGTGATGAATCTCAGTGCTGTGACACATCAGAGGGGTTTGGCTGGTTCTCCCATCCTCCCCCCGGCTTGGTGCTGTGAAGTCCCCAACCAGCACTACCAGATGTTTGTACTGATGCCATTTCCTCATGGGCTTAGAGCTGTTTCTGTCTATAAACCGCAGGTCAAGGAGTGCAAAGTGATCCTGTGCCTGCAGGTGTTGCTCTCGTGGCAGGACATAGGTATAACCCCACCAGAGCATCCTGCACACAGCACCAGGTGGTTGTTGCTTCATTCACCACAGGCTGTCGGCCGAGGTGCTGCACTGAGCCACGGGCATAAACCTCCTGGGTTTGGGATGGGGCTGAGACCTGGACAGCTCAATACAGTGGTGTTCAGACACTGATGGAGGAAATGCCCCATCCCTGGCAGTGTTCAAAGCCAGGTGGGATGGGGCACTGAGCAACCTGGTCTAGTGGAAGGCATCCCTGTCCATAGCAAGAGGGGTGGAGTGAGATGAGTTTTAAGGTCCCTTCCAACCCAAACCATTCTTGGATTCTCTGATTCTATGAAATGGTTTGCAGTCAGTGAGCTGCAATAAACTGCAGCAAGTGCCTGCAGAACCCACTCAATGAAACAGCCCTGATGCAGGCAGCCACACTTACAGGTTCTAAGACATGGACTGGCTGCTGTGCCACTGGCTTGGTGGCTGCAAGGATGAGCAAAAAGTCGGATCCCAGGAGCTGCTCCCCCTCCCTGGCTCAGAAGGTGCAGGATGCCCCGATATGGATGCAGCTCCATCCATGCACCATCCCCTTACACTGCACTGACTCCTCTGCTCTGCTCCCCAGCTGGTACTTCAGCAGGATTAGCCGAAACGAAGCGGAACAGCTCCTCCTCTCGCCTCCCAACCAGCACGGCTCCTTCCTTGTCCGGGACAGCGAGAGCAGCAAGGGCGAATACTCTCTCTCAGGTGACTTTGTGGCAATTATCCAGAGAAAATTAGCACAGGGAAAGGAACCAGTTCCTTAAGGCAGCTCCTGGCTTGGTCAGCACGGGGTGAAAAACAAGGGAATAAGTTTAAAGCACTTTTCAGCACCTTGTTGAAGTGAACCAGCTGCTTTCTGAGAGCGCAAAGCTAACAGAGAAGGGCTGGATTGCAGAATTACTGCGGTAAAGGAAAGTGCGTGGCTCCCGTCCGGGGTAGGAAAGCTGTAAACATTTCCCCATGACTTAATGATGGTGTCATGGCACTAACTCCCAGGATTTCATTCCAACAGCTTTTGTCATCCGAGGTTGTTTAAAAATATGCTGCCACTCCAGATTATCAGGGCCTGGGCTGCACAGACCAAAATCTGAATTCAGAGGGGTTTGGACCAGGCAGTGCTGTTACAGTCTGGTCCTATCCACATAAAAGCAATCCTGAGAAATTCATGGCAAACTCCCCATCCCACTCAGGCTGTGGGAGTCCCAGCTGCCACTGGTTTATCCACCTTGAGCAGCTCTGCTGCTCTCTGAGCAGGCCATTTCCACAGGAAATAATCCCTAATAAAAAAACATCACCTCTGTGGTCCAAAGGAGCCCAGCTCACCCACGGGCAGGAGTCCTCTGAGCCAGGAGTTGGGAAGAGAAGGGATGTGGGGATTGGGATATAACACTCCAGGGGCGAGTTGTGTTGCTTCAGGATGATTAAAAGACTGGGTGTCTGGAAAGGAGAGAGGGTGAAGTCAGCAGGAAGGTGGGAAGGAGCTGTTGATTGCATGAGTTGAGTTTTCCCCAACCTGGGCTTCCCCACAGTGCGCAACCACACCAAGGTCAGCCACTTCCGAATCTGCAAGAGCCCCAGGGGCAGCCTCTACATCCAGAAGGGACACCCCTTCCCCAACATGGAGGAGCTCCTCGCCTTCTACATGGAGCACTGGAAGGTCATCCAGAGCCCTTTGCTGCAGCCCTGCAGCCCTGCGGTGCGTACGCCAGTGGCACGGAGCAGCCCGGCTCCCAGGGATGAGCAGGATGGAAAAAAGGAAAGAAAGACTAGGGAAAATAGAAATAATTACTCTATCCATTTGGGATTTGAGCTTTATTAAACTAAATTTAAAGCCCACCTTTAGTGTTGCTGCCAGCATCACCTTTTATCAGCCACGCCAAGGCTGGGCATGGCATTTCTATGGATTTTTGACTGGGAAAAGTTAACAGAATCTTCTGAAATGTCTTCTCCATCTCAAAGACTAGAAACCAAGTTGTTACAAATCCCTTCAATACTGATTCTGGAAATACCTGTGCTTCCAATTTTTTCCTGAAAATATAAGACCTACACATTGCTTTTATATAGTTTTCATACCAATTAGTGTGGCACTCATAAATCTAATTACAGTATTAATCCCAAATTGCCAACTCATTTCCTGATTAGAATTCCATCCACTGATTACGACTTAGAAATAGCAATTAAACATGTGAATAATCCAAGAGTGAAACTGAAAGGTGTAGTATGAAAGAAATGCCTAGTGAGCTGAAGTCTAAATCAGTCATATTACGCAATAATATTAATTTAATTATTTTTATTTATTTGTGGAAATGGAAAAAAGCCATTTTGAAGGCTGATTAGGAGTGAATTATAACTTGAACTCCTGATATTTTGTGTAGTCTCCCAAATCTCCCCCTTGCACACGTGGGCTCCCAGCAGAGGTCAGGGAGATGATGCCCCACTTGCTTTGTGAACTTTTAGCAGAGGGAAAAGCAATGCTCGGGCTGCAGCCCCTGTGCACACAGATGGGGCAGCATCATGTCCTGCTCTGTGGGCATCAAAAGCTGGTGCAGGCTCCACAGCAGGTCCTGCCTGGCTGGCTGCTCCAAGAGTGTCATTCCATGTCCATTTGGCAGACCCCCCCTGAGAGGGATGGCTGGGAACGCCCACGCTGGGAGTTCACCCTGCGGAGGAAGCTGGGAGAGGGCTACTTCGGAGAGGTGTGGGAAGGGCTGTGGAGGAACACAGTGCCAGTGGCCATCAAGATCATAAAAGGTACGTGGAGAATCAGATGTTAACAGCAGCCAGCTGGGTCTGTCCTTCACTGCCACATCAGTCATACTCTTTTGTTTCCTCATCCTCTTGGTCACTGTGACTGTTTAATCAGACAAATTATGGTAGGACCTGGCAAGGAGCCACTGGACTGTTTCTGTGGGCAGACCTAAGCTTGGGCTGCATTGCTATAAAATGGCTCCAGTCAGTGGGTTTGGGATCACATCAAGTCAAATGTGTTAGTGAAAATGGGATGCAATGCCCCATGGAAAACACCTCTTGGCTGTTTGGGTCTGAGACACAGTTTGTGCAGACATAAGCTTTGAAGGCAGGGGTGGGCTGCAGGGAGGAAAAAGGTCCTTATCCAAGTTGGAGGTGCTGAGGTGCCAACAGCCACATGAGAAAGTAGCTCACAATAGCTGTGTTGGCTTTCTCACTCAGCTGACATGAAAGCAGAAGACTTCACCAAGGAGATTCAGAACCTGAAGCGCTTGAGGCATGAGAAGCTGATCCAGCTGCACGCTGTCTGCTCTCTGGATGAGCCCGTGTACATCATCACTGAGCTCATGCGCAAAGGCAACCTCCACAGCTACCTCAACAGTGAGTACCGTGCCAGCGCCACGGGGAGAGGGCTCCTGGGGCACTGCTGGTCTGGGGGTGCTTTCTGTGCCCTGTGAATCTGAATGGGGACCCTAAGAGAGCACCAATCTGGTTTTGGTCATTTTCAGATTAGTGGTAACACAGATCAATCCATGGGCACTTGATGGAGACGGTCTTGGGTGACCCCAAGACCCAAAAACATGGTCTGGTGTCCATGCTGGTAGGGACCTTCATTTCTCCTTCTTTACCCACCCATGGTCTGCCTGCTCCCACCAGTGCACACAAATCCTACTGCTGTGCTTGGGCAACTCCACCTTCTTTGGGAATGAAATGGCCAAACCTCCCCATGGGTTTGTTCATGTGCAGAGCTCATAAGAGGCCATGATCCACTCATCATCCTACCAACAGGTTATTTTTCTTGGCCTTTCTTTTCCTGATGCAGTAATCAGTCTTGAAAGGAAATAACTGCTCCCACTGAGACCTGTTTTTCTACTGGGTACACCTCCTCCCACCCACACTGGCCTCGTTTTTGGTTGGGGCTCCAGAAGCATTTGGTGCTGGAGGAGCTGGAGCTCACAGGCACAACAGGTTGAGAAGCCTGGTGGGAGATTTGCATGGCAGAAGGTCACCTTTAGCTTTGAACAAGCCATGAATATCTGCATCTTCGTTGCAGCACGTGGTGCCTTTCAGAGCTCCATTCCTGAGGAGCGCATGGCTGTGCTGAACTTCCCACACAGTGCCACCAGGACAGTTAGCCAGGACCTCCAATTCGAGGTTTTACATGCTCCCCTAGTCCCACATTGCCGGCACAGAGTCTCCCTCCAAACCAGAACACCCAGAACAGATGTTGGTAGATTGCCCCCAACTCTTGGATCATCCGGATTAATAGGTCCTGAAGGGAAGTCCCTGGGCACCTCCCACCTGCTCAACATCGCCTGCCAAGTGGCAGATGGGATGAGGTACCTGGAGGAGAAGCACATTGTCCACCGGGATCTGGCAGCCCGAAACATCCTGGTGGGAGAGGAACTCACCTGCAAAATTGCTGATTTTGGACTTGCCCGGCTCCTCAAGGTCAGTCCCGTTACCCTGGGCCACCAAGCTGCCCCGTGCTGCAGCTGTTCCCTGCCATCCTCTTTCCCAATCTGTGGCTCCAGCAAAGCCTCAAAAGCAGTCTCCGTGTTGATCATCCCATCCCTCATGTCCCATCTCCCATTGCTTTTCAGGATGACATTTATTCCACCAGCAGCAGCACTAAAATCCCGGTGAAGTGGACAGCCCCAGAGGCAGCCAACTACCGCACCTACTCCCTCAAGTCCGATGTCTGGTCCTACGGGATTCTGCTCTATGAAGTCTTCACATATGGACAGATCCCGTATGAAGGTAGGGCTGCCAGCACACTCCTGTGCCCTCCATCCACGTGCTGGGCAGCTTGCCCATGGTCCCCAAGAGCCAATGTGTCATGAATTATTGTATTGTTCCTTCCACAAGGGATGTGGAAGCAGCTCCTGGAGCATGAGCAAGTTATTGTCCACTCTAGGCATGGTTTACAGGGATTTGCCATGGTTGTAGAGTGGGTGCAGGAGCTGGGGGAAGGAAGGTGGTATGGGCTGGAGGATCTCCCACATCCTTCAGGGCAATCTTCTCCTTCTTTGCAGGGATGACAAACCAAGAAACTGTACGGCAAATCACCAGGGGCTACCGCCTTCCCCGGCCCAGCTCCTGCCCTCCTGAGATCTACAGCATCATGCTGGAATGCTGGAGTGGGAACACGGAGGAGCGTCCCACCTTCCTGGCCCTGCGGGAGAAGCTGGGCTTCATCTACAGAAGGCTGCTCAGCTCCCTCTCCTGAGGGACCCCTTCCCACCATCCTTCCTGCACAAGACCCTCCAGGCCAGCTCTTGCCAAGAAGTTCCTTTCTGCTAGTTTGCCCTTTGAAAGGGCTACAAGGAAAGCACATCCCCCCCAAAAACAGTCCATGGTCCCTCGCAGTCAGGATGCAGGGAGGTGGCAAAGGGAAAAGGCAATGAGTTGTGGAGAACTCGTTGCCAGCACTTGGCTGTGTAGCAGTCTGGAGAAGCCCTGTGGTAGCAGAGGCATCACCCAGAGTTTACATCTTCATTCAGCCAGTAGGGTGGGAGGTCCCTGCCACTCCCCACACCAACATGAAGGTTTGCAGTTCATGTTCAGCTGTGGCTCCCCTTGATTTTTCTTGTAGTGTGTGTCCGGTGTATTTATCAATAAATGTGTGTGCATCCATCTGTGGGAGTCCTCGCAGGGCACTGCTGGATGCTCTGTCCATACCACATTGCTCTGCTCCCTCCCAGGAATCATAGATTGATTTGGGATGGAAGGGATCTTCATGGTTCATCTTGTTCCAACCCCCCTGCCATGAGCAACGACACTTTCCACTAAACCAAGTTGCTCCAAGCCCCTTCCAAGCTGGATGTGAACACTTTCAGGGATGGGTTCAAGGAACCCATCAAGGATAGGTTCAAGGAAGCAATGGTTTGCAACCAGTCCCACTCTTGGAACCACAGATATAACCATTCTTTGGTACCTGTTCATCCAGGTACACACTAAACCCCAGTGTGCCTCTGCCAGCCCTTTCCCAGCCAGCAGCCCTGCTTGCCCTGAGAACCCTGCACAGGCAGCTCCTCTCTGGGCTGCTCTGCTCTGGATCCTTGTCTCACTCACCATCGTGTGTTAATTCCAAGAAAAATATATGTTTGGGATAAATTATCTAATGTCTTCTTATCCCAGGTGCAGGCAGGGAAGGTAAAACTGCTTCACTCAAAAGAGAGTTTTGCTCTTTACCCCACCCTTGGTGCAAAGCCAGGAGATGATCCCACCACCCCCAGGTCCTCACTGATCCCAGGGCACAGCATTACGGGGCAACCTTGAGCCTCTGGTCCCTCCCAAGCCGGGGGAGCATTTGCTCCAGCCAAGTCCCTGTTGCCCATCCTGCCCATGCACAATCCCAGAGGCCAGGCTGTCCTTGGCAGCAGTGGAAGGACTCATGGAAAAGCAGCACTGGGAGCAATGCCAAGACTCCAGACTGCTGCAGGCAGCCTCTCCGGGGTGGCCTGAGTGAGGCTGCTTGAGCACTAACACACTCATGGCTCTGGTGGCAGGAGCACGAAGTGCTGTGGGTGAAAGGCAACTGGCACTGAATTCTTCCTGATGAGCCTATTTTGCCTGTTTGCAGGTGGCTGCTGGGACTGAGCCAACAGCTGTGTTGGAATTTATAAAGTTAATAAAGTTTATGCAACACTCCCCACGCCTGGGCAGTGTCCGTGCTGTGTGGAACGGCGGAAACAAGTCTGGCTGTTAATTGAGCAAGTCTCAGTGCACAAGGGGCCTGGAAAGGGGAGGCAGGAATGTGGTTTAGGGGAGGGATGAGTCCTGCTCTGCTCATGCTTCCGAGCGAGGGTGAGGCGGTTGCTGAGCCCACGGAACTGCAGCCGTGCCCGGGGAAGGCGGCAGCTCCCGGTTTGAGTGTTCCCAGGTGGAAAAAGCAACAGGTTGGGTTTGGACACGGTTGCAAGAGGAAACCCTAATTTGTACAAGGATTTTTCAGCCTGATCAAACGCTTGAACAGAGAGAACAGCTATGCACAGTCAGGTCCTGCAAGAAAATAAAGACCGAAGCTGTGTCTGGCAGGTGAGGAGTTCATGGCGCACCGAGGAAGGGCAGGGACACCTGTGGCACAGGCACAGTGGGGCTGCTGCAGCATAGAATCATAGAAAGATTTGGGTTGGAAAGGACCTTCAAGATCACCTTATTCCAACCTTGTTGCCGTGGGCAGGAACACCTTCCACTAGACCAGGTTGCAGAAATAGGAAGACATTCAATTTGCAGGTCTGGTTGCCACCAGATGGAGCTCAAAAATAAGCAGGAGAAGGGTGTGCATGGGGTGATGGGGTGCTGGGCCTGGCACAGGGCGATGGGGCTGGTGTGGGACACCGTGGTCCATGGTGGGATACCTGGAGAGGCCAGTGAGGCTGGCAGGGCTGCAGGCAGCCTCCTGCCTGCACCAGCTCATCAGACACATGGCTCCAAAACAGCTCACTCAGCTGCTGCAGTGACCTGATGGGGATGTGGAGCAGGGAAATGGGGGCATCATGACACGGTGCTGCCCACAGCAGCTTTTCTTTCCTCCTCCTCCTCCTCTGCTGCATGAAAAGCTGATCCATTACCTGGGTTTGCCCTCCAGCACAGTCTGCTGGGTTTTGGCATTTCTCCGAGTCATTATTTGCTTTCTAAAAGTAGACAGAGTTGGTGGGGGCGGGGGGGAGCCCAAATTTTCCCATCTGCTCTCAGGATCTCAGCCTGGGCTGGGCACTGCAGCTCCCCCCAAAACTGGATCAGGCTTTTCCTTAAATCCATTGCACAAAGGCAAGGATGGTGTGGCCCCAGTCTTTCACGGACCCCTCTGGAGTGGGCACTGCAAATCCTGCTGTTACAGCCATTCTGCTGCTCTGTTTGCAGCCTGGCATGTGCCCTCTTTGTGCATTCAAGGATTGGAGCCTTGACCCAATGGCATGTGGAAACAGTGTCAGGCTAATGCAAGGTCTTTGAGCTGCACAGCTCATTTCTATTTTTAAGATCCCACATCAGCCTTTGAAGGGTGAGGGGGAAGCAAAACTGTTGGAGGAAAAAAGAAAACAACAAAACAACCCCAAGCAGCAAGAGGCAGGGAATGAAAGAAAATATTTCTCACCAGAGGCAACGAGGTGGTACAAGGGGCACTGCAAGGGATGAGAGTGAGCAGAAACCTGGGAGTTTTTTACCAAATATGTGAGTTAATCAAAAGTCAAAACACCTCTGGGGGAGCAGAGGGGGGATGACAATCTCAGTGGAGTTGGTGCCATGGGAGATGGCATTACCCCTCTGATAGCAAGCCCTGTGGAAAGGGGGAGGATGATTAGGGAGGTGTATAGTGTATGGGAAACCCCTTTGCTTGTCTTGTTTCTACTGCTGTGTCTCTCTTGCTGTCTCACCACAGCAGGCAGCACAATGACACGAGACACAGGAAGTCAGCTGGAATCATAGAATTGCTGGGATTGGAAAAATCTGCTGATATCATTGAGTCCAACCATTCCCCAGCACTGCCAATCCCACCTCTAATCCACATCCCCAAGTGGCACATCTACAGGTCTTTTAAATCCCTCCAGGGATGGTGGCTCCACTGCCCTGGGCAGCCTGTTCTCATGCTTGATAATTCTTTCAGTATGGAAACTTGTCCTGATATCCAATCCAAACCTCCCCAGCACAATTTGAGGCCATTTCATAGAATTGTGGAGGGAGAGTTTTCTCTCATCACTCGTTACTTGGGAAAAGAGACCGACACCCACAGCAGTGGAGATGGAAAAAGAACAAAAATAAACTTGCCTGGCTGTCAGATGCTTTTCCTAAATATGTCTGAATGCTGTGGAGGTGCAAGAAAGGCACTAAAAGCCTTTCAAGCCCAAGCAAACAAGGCAGTGCCAAAGGCTTTGCTCTCAGCAGTACCATGAAGCTGCCTGGGAGCACATCTGGGGGGCTGTTCCTGTTTCTTCAGTCCCACCAGAGAAGGAGTCTGAGTCTGTGACACTTTACAGACATTCAGAAAAACACCCTTTAATTCAGCAGGGGGTTTCCGGGCAGTTTTGCTCCACTGGACAGGGAGCCATGGGCATAAGGGCAGCCACAGACAGGTTCTGCAGTCACTGCTGTAAACCCAACCCACCTTGCAGCAATGTGGGAATGAATTTAACCTCCATCCAGGTTGGAGGGGCATCATCAGTGTGCCCAGCTGAAAAGCAGGGGTGCAGGATTGGTATCTGTGCTCTGCCACTTCCTCCCCCGGGTGCCTGGGGATAGTTGTTGGGCTTGACCCTCACTGATCACGAGACCAGAAAGCAAATACAGCAATATTGACTTTACCTTTGTGTGTCCACACTGTAATCTGCAGGCTTGGAAAAAAAATGTGGGGCTTCTGCTGGGAACCAGCAGTTGAGGAGACTCTGCTGCTGCCCTGAGGCATCTCGGGGGTGAGCAGCACCCAAAAGGGTTTGCTGAGACAAGGAAGGCCCTGGAGCAGTGCCACAGCCATGCTTTCCAGCTTGCCAGCCAGACAAAAAGCCTTGTCTTGTCTTACTCAAAAAGGATTTATTTTTGCTTGATTTTCCTGTGTTCTGGGAAGTTTAAAGGCTGCCATGTGCCTCTTGTGATACACAGCCCCCTGCACACAGGTGGAGCCACCCCACAGACAGCAGTTTGCCTCCTGGCTGGAAGTTGCATCAGATCAGTTGTGGGGTGATGTGCTGCTGTGGACATGGGGGTCACCCACAGGGTGCTGGCAGCCTCCAGGGTTCAAACTGTGTACCCAAGGCTGCTGGGCCCCTCCATGGCCATTTAGATGCACATGCTTATACAGGGAGAACAGAGGTCCCACTGCTGTCCTGGCCCTTTAAAGGGACAAGGGACACAGACCCTCCACCCCGAGGACAAGGAGAAGCAGAGCTCAAGGAAAAGCTTACTCAACACTTTTCCCAACCAGAAACAAGGAACAAAGCGAGAAGTGACCTCAGATGCCCCTGCAGCACAGATAGAAAGCACAGCAGCCCTGCCCCCCCTAATCCCCCCTCCCCAGCTGCTCCCTGCCCTCCTCCCTGTCTGCCTTGGGGCACCAGATGGGGAAAAGTCATGGCTCGGGGGTCCCATGACCTCAGCTGCCATCGGGGCTGCAGCACCTGGTGCACACAGGGACAGCCCCACACCTCATGCTGTGGCTGGAAGTAGAGCAGGAAGATTTGGCACCTTTAAATCAAGCTCTGCCAGGGTTTTTCTGCCTCCAGCAGGAACAAAGGTGCTCCCTTCACCCTGGCACTAGCAGGCCAGCTATTCCCAGCTACCAGGCTGATAACAGAAGGATCAAGCAGCCAAGCTGACTAATTCAAGGCAAAAATCAGCCAAAACAGTCTTTAAAGCAGTACAGCACATGGGCCAGCTGGGATCCAGGGCTGCCAAATCCAGTGCACTCCGAGCTGCCACCCATACCACGAGCTCCAGCCTGACATCAAGACCCACAAAATGCACACCCTGAGCAAGCCTCATCTCTCCCCTCACTATGGAAGGCTCACTTTTCACTCAGTTCCTTCCCCCAGCCCCAACCAGACTGGCTCAGGCCCTGGCACTCACTCCTACCCCTCGAGGCACGAGGGCAGGGCAGCAATGTGCTGAGGGAGCAAAACAAGTTCAAGTGCCAGCAGCGACAGGCTGTGCAGCCAAGTAAGGAGAAAAGGGTGGGGGGAGGCATTTGCGGCATCACCACAGCCCAGCCAGATCCTGCTCACGTACAAAACACACACGGACCGGTGAGTCACACTGGCACGTGATATCCTGCATCGCCAGCTCCTGCCATTGGAAGCTGTGCTGTGCTCTGGTCCAGCCCCACTGATACCCCCAGCACCCCTCTGCCCTCTCCCCTCCATGCACAAAGAACAACCCAAGGAAAATAACCCACAGAGTTTTAAAAGGCTGCTCAAGTTTATTAGTTGCCATTGTACGGAGTTCAAGGTAATAAAACGTGTTACCAAGTCTGCTTAGTTACACTGGGAAAAGAGTAAAAAGGCTAGTGTGGAATCGTCGGGGTTTGCTGCACTTTTCCATCCCGAGGCAGCAGCTTTGCCCTGGAGCAGCCAGCTACTCTACGGGGAGGGGGCTGTGCCCGCCGGATGCGGAGCAGCCGCCGACCCGCTCACGGCTCACACTGAGGGCTCAGAGCTGGGCTCGCTGATGTGGCGCCTCCGTCCCGCGCCCGGGGCTGGCACCAGGCCACAAGTCATCGGTCCTGTTGTCACCCGCAGAGCTCCTGAGCTGCAGGACAGAGCAGAGAGAGGGTCAGGCCGGTGTTGACATGTGGCGTTATGGCTCTGTGCTGACTCCTGCAGCAAAGGGGTGGGTGCTCTGGGCACAGACACGGCCCATGGGGTCAGGATGCACCAAGGGGGATGCAGCAGGGATGTCCCCAACTGCCCTGGGTGCTGCACTGGTGCTCCCCCCATGTCATCTCAAAACACTCACCTCTGTGGGGACTCTGACACGGTTGTCATGGTCGGGTGAGTCGTCTTCCCAAAGAAGAAGCTGGCCCACCACTGGCCAGGGTCAGACTTGGGCAGGTCTGGGGGACAGTGCATGCCAGGGAAAGCCCAGGTCAGTGCAACCCACGGCCACCCAACTCTCATCCCATGGGAGAGGCTGGGTCACCTCCAGTCAGATTTGCAGAGGAGGGGCTGGGAGCAGAGTCCCCCCCTGAGCCAGGACAGGTGGCACTTACCCAGGGAGTGGGGGGTGACTTCCCCAGAGTACTCTGAGCTGCAGGAGCTGCTGCTGGATGTGGAGCTCAGGCGCCCTATGGAGAAATCATGGCCATCAGAAACACTGCTGCTCCTTGATCTTGCCATCAGGAGCAAAGCACGGCCTCGGTGTGACTGTCCCTAGGTGACACGGCTCAGTCTCATCACTAGCTCACTCCTGTACTTGCCCAGGTTTAGTGCCAGGTCAATAAAAAACACTAGGAAGGGAATACCGATGAGATTCCAAGAGCAGGGACAGGAAAAACACCTGAACACCTCTGCAGGAGAATACCTGCAACCCCAAGGACATCATTTAGTGGCTTTGGGAGGCCTATGCAGATGACTTGAGGCCAAGAGGCTGTAGAATCCTGTGTTCTAGTCCAACGGCTACAAGCCTGTTGCTTGTTTCAGCTCAAGGGGAATCCTTTAACTCTCTCTGGTTTAAGCAATCCATTAAACCAGAAAGTCTCTGCCAGGAGAGGTACCAGTAGCAACTGTTGCCCAGACTGGTTTTGCAGCTCATTCCTATAGCAACAGTGCAAGGTGAAGCCATCACCTCCCCTTCCCTACAACCTTAGCAACAAGTGAAGGTTTGAGATCCCTCACCAGCTGGTACAGCTGGGCAGGGGCTGCAGGGCCCAAAGGAGGCTCTGGGCGGGAGGAGGGACACTGCTGGCTGTCCCCTTTTCTCAGCAAAGGCTCACACGGTGCTCCAGCTGAAAGCACAGACCTGAGCTCAGCTCCATCTCTGCTGGAGCCATATCCCCCTAACCCCTGGCAGAGCCCCCAACCTGCTCCTCCGGCATCCTGAGACCACCCCAGCCCCCAGCCCGCCCTTACTTCTGCGGTAGTTGTGGGTGGCCATGAGCGAGCCGCTGGATGGGATGGATGCCATGGCTCTTGATCCTGGTTGTCGTGCAGATCTAAACCTGCGAGCACAGAGGCAGCTGTCAGCACCCCCCTGACCCACACCTGCACCCCAGAAACCTGCAAGGGTGTAAATGGAAACATCGTGGCTTCTGGAGAGATGGGACGTGCAGCCCCGTGCTGGGAACCGTGGTTGGTGCTTGCAGAGTTGCACAGGGATTAAATCCACAGAGCTCTAAGAACTACGTGCAACATAATTCCCTCGTACACAAGCGCCTTCCCAGAGCACAGCCCGGCACATCCGCACAGCCCCTTCCCGACCCCCCGCGGGTGTTTTTCTTGCAGGAATCCAACTCCCCTCCTTGTATCAACAGCTGGAGTTATGAAATCCCTGACGGATGTTGCATAAGGAGCAAAGAAATGTTCAGCTGGGGCACATACCGAGGGTGTTCCAGCACCAGTTTCCAGCCCCAGCCTGCCCTCAGCAGCTTCCCCATCACCCACAGCCGGGACAAGCCTGCCCACCCTTCACCTTTGTTGTGGTTCATTCCAGTTCTGAACTAGAGAGAACTGAACTTTCTCCTCCTTGCACAAAGCACCTTCCTGCCCGGAGCTGACTCTTCCCACAGTCTGACCCCCGCTTTTTCTTCAAGGAAGCTCAAAAAAAAAAAAAAAAAAAAGGCTCAGGGAAGCCAAGGGTGCCAGATGCCAACAGCTGGAACTGCGTGGGGGACACCACCCGCGAGAAGCAACCTGGTCATCCTTAGCGGGGGACGCTGAGGCACGGAGAAGGTTCACCCCAAAGCATCTGAGCTCCGACCCCTCTCGAAGAAAAACCCCCAGATCGCCACGGGCCGCCCCGTTTCCCCCCCGCACCTGGGCTGGGCTGTGGGCGGCGGGGTCCGCTGGGATCCGGCGGGGAGGGTGCTGGGGCCGCGGGGCCCGCGGTGCGGGGTCTGCGCTCCGCTCGGTGAGCCCGCACGGCCTGAGCCGCGGCGCTGCCGCCCCGCCCTTGAGCCGAGCTTAAATCCCCTCCGGCCGCGCCCTCCCGCGGGATCCGCCAATCGCCGTGGGGGCGTGGCCGGCCACACCCCTTCCCCGCGGGGGGGAGTGTCGCGATTGTCCACAGAGCGGTGGCTGAAATCTGGTGTGGCATTAAAAAGCCTTAAAAACTGGAGTAAAAGTGAATAAATAAATATGGGTTTGTGGGGTTCTGACCAGGCTGGGCTGTGTCCGTTTTGGGGGAGAATGTTTTATTTCAGAGGAAAGAGCTTGAAGCAAGGCCAAAGTACAGCCCATACCACAATCCAGCTCCTCCGTATTTGGGTACCAGTGCAGCATCATGCGCAGATGCTGTTCCATAAATCACTGGTAGTGCAGGGTGAGAGTCCAAGAGAGCCAAGGCAATGGATGTGTGTATGAGGAAACGTATCCATGTAAGAGGAACACAGAAACTTCACAGAAGATTGATTTCTGTATGGAGTGGAACTGGGGCTGAGAACAAAACACTCAGAGAGATGCCAGAGCCTTGCAGTGTCTCCACAAAGGCAGTTTGACACTTGCTGTGTCTGAAGGGTTACTCATTTATTTTTTCCCCAAAAGCCACTCCAGAGCAGAGTGGCTCCTGTGGGCCACTGCTGTGGCCCAGCACACTGGGGGTTTGCAATAAAATTTTACACTTTCAGGTGCAGCCGTGGGAAAACCATTTTTGGAAGGAGATGTTTTAGCTATTTTAAGGACTGGGGACAGGAGAGAGCCCATATCCCAGCCTGGGGTGGTTCTGGCACAAACTCTCCATACAACAAGGTTCATTCCTCTCCCAGCCCCCAATTTTTCCTATTAATCCTGAGTTATTCGTTAAGCACTGGGGCAAGGAGCCAGAACCAGGGGAGGCAGTGCTGGGTTGCTCCAGGTCATCAATCTCTCTGCCCAGCTCACGGGGCAGCAAAAGGTCCAAGCTATCCTTGGGACTGTGTTTCTCTGCGGGGTGGGAGCACCCTGGCATGGGGACATTCCAGGTGACCCATGTCCCCAGATGTCCCCGCCTTGCCCAAGAAGAAGGCACCACTGCTGCCACAGCCACTGGGGTGGATGCCATCCCTGTGCGCAGCCCATGTGCACACTCCCAGGAAATCAGCTGGGATGGCTTCAGAAAGAGCCTTGGCACCACAAGCCTGTAAGCAAATTGTTTATTTTCAAATTCTCCCTCAGAGGTTTAAGAGCCAACACAAGTGCACACATGGTCCAGCTCAGGACCAAGTTCCTCCAGCCGTGCCTCAGTTTCCCCTTTGAGGATACTGACTCAGCGCTTTCTAGGGAAGGATTTGGCTGAAAGTTGTGGTGGACTTTGAATATACAAACACCAACAGGCACGTGGCTGTTTTCATTCCCAGCATTAGGATATGCTTTTGTGCAGCATGACTGGGTTTGATTGGTGGTTTGTTTTCAAGGTTCTGGCACTCCCAGGCCATTCGCTCCCAGCCCTGCTGGCTGCACACCACGGAAAGCTCTAGGGTACAGGCTTGGGAGATTTTTCTGGCACAGAAGGGAAACATAGGAAGGCTAAAAATTTGATGCTTCAAATCTGAAAAGTCACTTTTGTTTTAGTGAAGCCAGTGTCATTTCCCAGGGTCCTCCTCAATTCCCAAGAGATGTATTCCTGCCATCCTCAGTTCCTCGAATAATGTACAGAGCAATAAGTGTGTATTGATACAAAGATTATATTCTCTAATGGAGTATATTCTCCCCAGTGGGTGCAGGGTGGCTGTGTACCCCACTGAGCCTAACCAGGCTAATTGCTTAAATTAATGATAGAGCAGAGATGAGCAACCCTGTCCCAGTCCCTCTGTGCAATGACACCACCTAAACCCATGTCTGGGGCTGCTTTTAAAGGATCAGTTCATTAAGCAGGTAGCACTGGGGGTGTGATGTTGCACCCATAGCCACGGGAGGTGAATCAGGGCTTTGCTGGTTCAGGGGGATCAGTCTCCAGCAAAACATGCCTTGCTCTGCTTTTCATCCCAAAATCAATTCCATTTTGCCTCAATGAAGCAGTGGGAGAAGCATGACTGGGACAAAGCAGCTAGGGGGATTGATGGACCAGCCAGTCTGATTTCCCAGCACAAAGCCTATTCTGGGTGCGTTGAGAAGACAAAGATATATTTTATTTGTATTGATCAGGAATCAGTGGTTTTAAAGCAAGCAGATGACAAGATTTGGATAGATTTTCTCTTTGTTTTTCCTCTAATTAGAGCCTCTGAGTGGACTGCAACTCTCCCCTCAGTTCTCTTTTCAGCAACGTTTCAGTGTTTTTTTGTTTTTTTTTTAATCTTGCTTTTGGCTTCTGGCAATTGGCTTTTGTTATCTGCCATTTGTGTGGGCTGTTGGGAAACAACCTTTTGTGTCATTTTGTACTTGGCAGAAATTTCTGGAAGCCAACAAAGGCTGCGGAACTGAAGGAGCTGCTGCTTCTGGACTCCCTCAGCACTCCTGGGCCACCACCAATGGATGTTTGCTAATGCTGGGGATGATGGCGCACCCCAGTCCCCAGCCAAAGAGGCTTCATGCTGCTACCAGATTCCCTCTAGGGATGTGACATCTCAATGGCTTCAGGAATTTGGTCCATAGTGAGAAAGTTGCTCAGCAGCCCCTTTCCCACCATCCTGCACCTTGTGCAGGATTTCCTTCCTGGATAAGAAGGCAGCACTTGCTCCCAGCACAGCAGTACAATCACAGAATGCTTTGGGTTGGAAATAACATTAAATCTCTTCTCATTCCATTCCCACTGCCATGGGCAGGGACATCTTCCACTAGTCCAGGTTGCTCCAAGCCCCATCGAACCTGGCCTTGAACACATCCAGGTATGGAGCATTCAGAGCTCCTCTGGGCAGCCTCTTCAGTAACACAGACTTGAGCTCTCTACAGTGCTACGGAGCCTGATCCTGCACCACCGAGGGCTTTCCCTGGTTCTCCCTCTGTTGTGGACCCCTTGCTGCAGAGGAGGGAGCAGGCAGGAGCTGCGCTCAGACTTTGCCCTCCTTTTCTCCCTCCTCCCCTCTTTCTCCGCCTCCTCCTTCTCCTCCTCCTCCTTCTCCGCTGCATTTTCCCGGCTGAGTTACTCAGTGCCAGGTTTGGGATTAGGGCGGCATCCGCCCAGCGCAGGCAGCTGCTGCCACCTATGGATAATAAACATCCAAATTATTCACCCCAGATGCCACATTAGGGCCACCTCCTCTCACCTCCCCTGACAGGGTTGGAGCCAGAGCATCTGTGAAACCAAGCCCGTGGTCATGTTGTGACCTGACACAAAATGCCTGGGCACCTTTCCCTGCCTGTACGGGTTTAAATCAGAAAAGGGAATGTCTTGGAAATGCTTTCCTTAAGCACAGTGCTTGAGCAGTATATTCTACCTGTCACTTGAAAATCATGCTCTGCCTTTCTGGGATATGTGCAGCAGTGACTCAAGTGCCACCCTGGCAGGAGAATAAACCAAAGCCAGATCTGGGGATGGCATATCCTGTGCCCGCAGTGATGGGAGCAGCTCTGTTGTCTTCACCTGCAGTTTGTGCCAAGGGCTCATTTCCCAGAAGGCACAGGGAATTGGCATCAGGACCCCCCAAAATTCTGACTCTGATCTGAAAATGCACACATTGGTGAAAGAATTAGGTAGAGAGTCACAAACTGTCTGATTTGCCTATGCAAAAGGGATGTCTCCAATTTGGAAATGCCAGTGAAGAGAGGTGACAGCTGTTCACTGTAATCCAGAGGCTTTTGGTGAACTTGGTCCCTCAAGTTCCTGACTTTTGGTCCCTCTGTTCCTCTGTAAAATTTGGAAAACCATCTTTCAGAAACCAGCAGCAACACTGAGCAGAATCCATCTCTGCAGAAAACTCTTAGACCAGCATCTCCTTTGTGGGATTGGGGGAGATGTCAACTACCGGTCACTACCATCATATGAAAACAAATTATTCCCTAAAATAAATCCTTGGGCTTTGATGGGAGTTGATTCAGCAACAAGTTTTCTCATTAAGTTCCCTGATCCTCATTTCGCCCTCTGGATGCATCCAGAGCTTATGCTGCTATCCAGGTATTCCCTTTAACACCTCTTCTAAAGCCATTCAAAGATATGGGCAGCCAGGGCTCTTTTCACTCAGTGGCTGTGGCTTTACAGGAAAAGCCATCCCCGGGATTAATCAGGCTTTTCCTAAATGGGAGATGTGCAGAGCTGCCAAAACAAACACATCAATCTGTTGTAGCTTGATACAGCACCAGACAAGCTTTTTATAAACCCAGAGTGGTCCAGGAGCAGCCAGGCATCCTGCAAACAGCCCTAAACCACAGGGCAGAGGTGCCTTATCTCACTTGGGATTGACCTAGATTGGGGTCTGCCCCCTCCTCGGCACATAGGGAGATTTAAGGGCTCAGCTTCTCACAGCCCCCACAGATGCTGTATTCAGGCACCAGAAATGTCAGTGTCCATGATAAGATTCATCAAAGTGGTGTTTTTCTCCTTCTCTGATGGTAAAAGATATTTCAGAGCACGGAAATGTTCATCCTGGCTGCTTCCCAGAAGGACAGCAGCTCAGGCTGAGCAGTTTTATCCTCCACAGCCTTGACCCTGCAACTCAGCCATTTGGTGGAAAAGGGGTTCCTGGAGGAGCATTCCCATGGCACACCTGGAGCCATGTGCTGCCACCCACCCTCAGGATGAATGGGGGCAGTTTTCAAGGCCTTTAGGCATTGTCCCTTCAGCATTGCTGCCTCAGATCACTTTGGACACCCGATGGCTGTGGTTACACCAAAACCTCACTGGGCAGGTCCCAGCAGTGTGAGCATGATGGTGGGTCCTTGGGTGCAGCCTGCCTTGCATGAGATACGCTGCTGATCCATCAGGGATGACACCAGACTCCATCCCCAGCTGGCCGAGTGGTTGGAGGGCTTGAACATCTTGTTATCACTTCCAGAGTTTATTTTTAAACCTGTGTCTCCAATTTAAAGGTATCAGAAGCATGCACTGAGTGCAGGACCTCAAAATACTCTCCTGCTCCTCCTTCCCCTGCCTTTCTGTCCCATCACTCCTGTCTTCATTTACCCTCTCCAGACCTACAACATGAGCATGAGCTGAAAATCCTGCTCACATTGAAAGTTCCATGAAATCTACTCGATTCCTGGAAGTGCTCAAGGCCTGGTTGGATGAGACTTTGAGCAACCTGGCCTAGTGGAAGGTGTCCCTGCCCACGGCATGGGGATTGGAATGAGATGAGCTTTAAGGTCTCTTTCAACCCAAACCATTCTGTGACTCCCTAATTCTATCATCTTTTCCTATTTGTGCCTCGGGCCAGGACTGCTGCCAGGCAAACACACAGGGAGAGTCATGACACATCAATATGGGGACCTGGAAAGGTTGACCTCAAAGCCAACCCCAGGTAAACATGCCCTAGAAACCCCTGGGACGCTCAGAGGGAAATCCCATCCTGTCTTAACACCAGCTAATCTGGGGTTTAACTGAAATGGGAATGCTTGTTTTATGTGCACCGGCAGTCGGGATTCCCATGGGATGCATGTTGTACACACGGGGAGAGGATGGCCAGTGTCTTGGTGTTTTGAGCCTCCACTTTCAGCAGGTGGTAAATGCTGAAAGAACTGAGTCCAAAGCATCTGCAAAGCCTCCAAAGCTGGTGTGGAAGGAGCTGGAAGCCTTACCATCAGAAGAAGAAAACTTAACAGCGTCCACTCTATCCACAAACTGCACTTTAGAGGACAATCTCTGCCCTACCCACCTTTGATCTGCTTTTCTGATGGCTGTTTCATGAGCCCAGCATGAGACCCTGCATTTCTTCCTTTCAAGGACTGCATCTCTATTGCTTTGCACAGGAAGAAGGAAGAAAATAGCAATTTACAGCTATTCCTGTGTCCAGCCTGAACTTTTCCCCAGTGAGAGCAGAGCTTCTGGAGTGACATCAGGGCTGGCATTCCTCGTGGCTGCCATCTGCCCTGCCCAAAGCCTCACCTTCAGAGAAGACCTGATGCATTTTATAGCAACAAACCCACAAGTACTTAGGGAGCTGAACACGTTATTCCTGGGCAGAAACACCCCCAGTGCAAGGCAAATCCAGGCAGGCAGCCTGGGGTGTTCTCATCCCAGATCCATACAAATTAACATCACTGTGGATTATTCACTCTCCCAGTCACATCGTGGGGGCCTCTTTGGGAGAAAAAATAAATCCCAGTTATTTTTTCTGGGCAAATGAAAATTTTAGCATAGCTTAAAGCACCAAATCCCAGTCTGAGGTCTGTGGGCTGGGTGGGGTCGAGGTGATGATGAAAGGGGTAAGAGGTACCTGCCATGTATTTGTGCAGCCTGCCCATCCCTTCTGGGGGATGGGGCGCATTTCTATTTTCCTGAGTCACCCTAAATCATTTGGTCACGGTTTTTGGGGTGGGGGAATCAAGCCTAAATATGATGCACAGGAATTGTTTCAGCTGGGACCTGAATCTGGAACCAGATGGATGGAGACAAGGCGCTAAACTTCAACCGCCCTCAGATTCTTCTTGCTCAGGTCTCTGTTATTTTACATGGCTGAATATTTAAGGACAAATTGCCACTGTTTTTCAGGAGGGAAAATGATTGCACTCGGACGTGACAGTGGAGCTTGGTGGTCCCCAGGGAGCACATGTGTTCAGTGGAACCCTTTTCCCCAGGCGCCGGCCAGACCTGGGCTCAGAGCTGTGGCTTTAAGCTTCTCGGAGGCTGGGGGTAAAGTGGCTTACCAGAGCCGGGATTAGCCAGGTCTGACAGCCCTCTCTCCTACTCAGGTCCTGGACTATTTATAGCCTGATGGGCCGTCAGGCTCTATTTCAGTGCAGAAGAACAGTGCACTGCCCGGTTCTCTTTTTCCTGCCTGGGAAAAGGGGTGAAAATTACAATTCTCTTTCCTGCAGAAGGAAAAGTAGGAGACTGGAGAGTTCCATCCCATGCTCACCTGGCCCAGCATCAGAAGGATTTGGATTTCTGTCATCCCCATCTTCACTGGCAAATGCAGCTGTTGCCCTGCTGAGGGCAGTTCCCAGGTTGTCTGCAGCTCTTGTGTAAAAAAGGAGGAGATTATTTATTGGAAAAGCAATAAGATATGGATAGAAAGAATAAGGGGTTTATATAACTCTCCCTCCCACACATTATCACACTCGCTTTCCATCTCCAGCACATCCAGACCTGTGATAACACTGCTACCCCTATCCCAAAACAAGGCTGGGGCAATCCCTTTAAACGCTCTTAGACCCTTCTCCTTGGAAATTTCTTTTTATTTTTTTCTGGCATTCAGTGCATATTATGTTGTGCAAGGAATGCTAAATAGAAGTAAAAGATAGCTTTACTATCATACTTCTAAGATAATACCAATAAGCTATATTATTTTTTGAAGCCTCCCTTCAAGCATTAATGAGAGGTCAGGAACATTTTAATCTACATGATGTGTAAGTTTTTAACCCTCAGTCTAGGAAGGTAAGAGTACCTTCCTAAGGGTACCTGATTTAGAGGGTACCCCTCTCCTCCCAGCCCCTGTGGGGGCACAGCCCTTCTGCACCACTGGCCCCACCAGGGGCAGAGCAAAGGATGTGGTATTTGGTGGCCCTGGGCCCCACTCCAATCCTGGCCCTTCACCCCAAGCTGCCATAAGCGGTCCAAGCCTCACTAGACCAGCACTTCCATAATTTCCCCTGTTTTCCAAGAAGCTCTTCTTTTTATCTCCCTCCACCCCTTGTCTTCCTCCCATCCCTCTATCTCTCCATCTCCCCACCCCTTCATCTCCCTCTCATTTCTCTATCTTCTTTCTTTCCTATCTCTCCATCTTTTATCATCCCACCTTACTCCCATCCCTCTATATTCCATCCTGCTCTTTCCCTCGGATTTCAGTCTTCCATTCCTCCATCTTGCCATCCCTCCATCTTCCACCCCTCCATCTCTCTCCCACCTCTCCATTTCTCTAATTCCTCCATTTTCCCATCCTTCCACCTTCCTCTCATCCCTCTGTCTTCTATTCTGCTGTTTCTCTCCACATACCCTCCAGCTGCTATTTTCCATTTGTCCTTTCATCTTCCATCCTTCCATTTCTCCCCACCTCTGCATTTCTCCCATTCCTCAATCTTCTTCCCATCCCTCTATCTCAAATCTCTCCATCTCCCTTTCATGCCTTCATCTTTCATCTTTCCTATTTCTCTATCCTTCCACCTTCCTCCCATCCCTCTATCTTCCATCTTGCTGCCTCCCTGACTTCAGTTTTCCAACCCTGCATCTTCCCATCCCTTCATCCTCCTCCCACCCCTCTGTCTTCCGTCCTGCTGTCTCCCTTCAACCTTTGCTTCCATCCTGCTGTCTCCCTCTGACTCCAGTCTTCCATCCTTACATCTTCCCATCCCTCCACCTTCCACCCCTCCATCTCTCCTCCACCTCTCCCATACCTCCATTTTTTCCCATCCCTCCATCTTCCTCCCATCCCTTTATCTCCCATCCTTCCACCTCCTCCCCATCCTTCCACCTTCCCTCCCCAGCCCCGTCCCCCGCCTCTCCTGCCTCTCCCTCCTCCTCTTCTTCCTCCTCCTCGTCCATCTCCTCCTCCCCGCGTCCCCCCCCCGCGCCTCCTCCTCCTCCTCCTCCCCCGCCCGGTACCGCATTGCCGTAGTGCGGGGGGGCCGCTGCATTGCGCTGCCGCCGTCGATAGGTGGGCCCCTCCCGCGGAGATAAAGCCGGCGGAGCCCAAGCCGGCAGCCTCTGGCCGCCCCGACCGCCGCCCCGGTAAGAGCTGCGGGACCGCGGCGGGATGGGGGGGACAAGTGGGCTGTGGGGAGGGAGGGGGGGATGTCCTGCCCCAGGGGCTGCGGGGGATCAATGCCCCCCCTCGGGTGTGGAGGTGCTGCCGGCCCCTGGAGCGGGGGGTGCCCTCGGGGAGGGAGAGGATGGGGCTGGACCGTTCCTTCATCCCGCAGGTGCTTCATCCCGCAGGTGGGAAATAACCCGCAACCCACGGTGCTTCAGGGCATGAAATTCTTTCTAAATGTTGTGCATGAGGAGGAAAACCTGATAATCCCCTCTTCCCCCTCCCTGCCCCCCCCAATCCTCATTCCCCTCCTGCCCCCCCCCCCCCACCCCCCCCCCCCCCCCCCCCCCCCACTTCGCCTTTAAGATCATAAAACCCTGGAATGATTTGGGTTGGAAGCGACCTTAAAGATCATGTCGTTCCAACCCCCTGCCACGGGCAGGGATGCCTTTAGCAACGTGGGAAAAAAAAAAAAAGGGGGGGGGGGGAATAAATAAAATCCCCAATTCCCAAAGCGACCCCGCATTTCCCCCCTACCCCGGGTGCCGGGGATGGGCAGCAGGGAGAAGGTCCCGCACCCAGGGCTGGGCGCTCCGGGACTGGGCATCGAAGCGGAGACGCAAAATGGCCAGATCCGGGCTGGCTGGGTTCAAGGGCAGGAGGGACGGGGCAGCCGGGGCTCCTGCTGCCCAGAGAGGCTTCTCGCCGGGAATATTATCACCCGCATGACTGAATCGCTATTAGAGCAGCAAACTCCTCCTGACCTCCTTTACTTCTATGGGCAGATTCGTGAAATTGGATTTTATTAGACGTCAGATTAAAGCTCCTAATTGTGCCGGGTTTGTGTGCAGCTGCAGAGCCATGGCAACGCCGGGAGATGCCAAGACAGCTCCCCGGATATACCCGTTTGAGTTTTTAGCCTCCTCCCTCTGTTTCATCCAGTTTCATGGCAGCAAAATATAATAAACCCCTCCACTGCAGGCTCAGAGGAGCCCTCGGCAGCCCGGCTATTCACAGCCCTGCTTGGGGGAGCAGCCGAGGGCTATTTTTGTCCACCCCCCTTCTGCAGCCACCATGTTGTCACCCGAACTGTGCCCAGCTCGGGAGTGGCGAGGGCAGCCTGGGAGGACGGGCACCCTCGGCTCCTCCCAGGGCACCCACAACATGGAGGAGATGCCCTCGGGTTTGGAAAGAGCGAGAAAGGCAGCAAGGAGAGCAGCCCTGAGCCGGGGGAAGGTTTTCCAGGGAGGAAGGGCACCTTCGAAGCACCGATGACGTAGCCCTGGGAACTGGGGGTCTCCACGAGGAGGGCAAGATGCCGAAGAACATGGCATCTTGCTGAGACTTGGAGGCTGTACATGGCAGCCAGAAATAGCCCGGCTGGCCTCCTCCGGGGGCGGGCTGGCTCCCACCCAGCATGGGCAGAGCTGCCAGACGAGGCCGGGCACCCCCGGCTGGGCTGGGGCGCGTGGTCCAGCGGGAAGGTGGGGCGAGGGGAGGAGAGCCATCCCCGACGGGCTGGGAGAGGGGGCTGGCACGGGGGCTCCTTTGACGTGCCTGCCTGTTCCCCCCCCCGCAGCCTCCCCAAAAAGGCAGCTGCGTTCCCACATCCCCCCCCAGCGCCGCCCGCCCCGGCCAGCCCCGCGTAGCCCACCAGCATGGGGAAGGAGAAGACGCATATCAACATCGTCGTCATCGGGCATGTGGACTCTGGGAAATCCACCACCACCGGGCACCTCATCTACAAATGCGGGGGCATCGACAAACGGACCATTGAGAAATTCGAGAAGGAGGCTGCCGAGGTGAGGAGCCCGTCCCCCAGCGTGCCCCCACCCGTGGGGTTGCTCCATGCTGATCCCCACAAGTATCCCACAGGCAATATTCCCCTTTTGCTGGCGCTGCCCTTCTCTTACCTTCTATTTCTCCCTTTGTTCCTGTCTATTTTTTACCCTCCGCACCCCTGGGTCTTCCCGACTTCTCTGGCCTTGGGAAAATAGGCCATTTGGGCGCTCGCCACCCTCTTTTCCGGAGCTGGGGGACTCCTGCTGCTGGTTGTTAATGAGGGCATGGCGAGGTCTGCAGGATGGGTTAGGGAACCAGTGGTAAGCGCCAGGATTCTGGAAAAGCCACAAGCCATGGTGTTTCAGGGCATGAAATTCCTTCTAAATATTGTGCATGAGAGTGGCAACCTGATAAATCCTCCCTGCCTAGATCAGGGCTCCCCGAATTTCACTCTGAAACACCAGCTTCCAGTTCCTGCTGGAGAGATGATGCAGCATCAGCTGGACCACTCGTTTGGTCCAGTTAAAAAAGCCATTTTCCTCAAGCAGGTGGTCTGATGTGTAGTGTGATTGCTAGCCTTTAATACAGAAAAGCTGGCTGGAAATTTGAGCCTTTAAGTTAAATTCTGTTGTTTCACTCTTATAATGGTGGCATTTATAACAATTTAATAGTACGTGCATTTAGCAGGCTGTGACACAGCAAAGCACCACCCCGTACCTGTAATGTGGCAAAGCCCGAGATTAAAGAGGAAGAAATAGTCTTGAGAAGAAAAGTGTGAATTGGAAGCCCTGAGAAACTAATGATGGTAAATTCTAGAGAGGTGGGTGAGCCAGGAACAGCCTGGCTGTGTTAAGGATAGGGCAGCTCCTGTCACTCAGAAGATGGCTTGTCGTCATCGCTCCGGGAATCTTTAATGCAGATATCCCTCCTTTTTCTCCTCCCCCCCCCCCCTTTTTTTTTTTTTCTGGTCAAGATCATTTTTCATTTAAAAAAAAAGAGATTTACAGAGCTGCCACTCTTGATTTGACATTTTGCTGTCTGTCTTAACCCTTTTAATTTGCCGATGGTATCCGAACTAAACCCCCCATTTTCCTGCCTCGCTCTCAGCCCTTTTTTTCCATCCTTTAAATGAACACCTTCTTCTTCATACTAAATAATCCCTTCCCCCTGCTTTAAAACAATTGCTGATACCCCTCCATATTTCCCCCCTCCTTTATCTACAGATCAGATAAGGCATGATAAGGTTATCATAGGTGTGATTGCAGCAATTTTAATTGAACAGACACTTTCACTGACTTGCCAGAATACCCGGGGACCAGAGGCTGCTATTAATAGCCTATTGACTGAGCTTACAGACTCCATTTTCTGATGCAGGGCTGGGGAAGGGTTTTCTTCCATTAGGTGGCATTCACAGGAAATGGAGGCCTGCATGCACCCAAAAAGCCAACAAAAAAACCTCAGGGTCTGCTATTTTTATTTTTTTTTAAAGAAGAGAGCAAGAATTTTTCCTTTTTTTTTTTTTTCTTTTGACTCAAGGGCAGAGGTAACAGTATCTCTGAAAGAAGAGTTGTTCTATTTAAAAAAAATAATAAATAATTGGCATTTGTGGTCTCCGAATAGAAAGTTGTCCCTTCGCTGGGGTTTGTTTGGGGAAAATCAGGCTGTTTTTGGCACTGAACAGGGAAGGTATTGTGCAAAGCTAGATAATACCCTGGGTTTTTCAACACCGGCTCTGGCTAACTGAATATACCCCATGAAAGGAGGGAAACTGTTTGCTAAATAAAGGATCTCATTTGTCTTCACGTTACGTGTGATGCTGAACTCTGGGGGGGTTTCATGCATGATGACCAGCTGTTTGTGTGTGGACGTGGCTGATGGTAATAAGGGCTGATTCCCACTCAGCTCCCACAGGAGAGCCAGGGGGTCTACTCTGTGCCTCAGTTTGCCCATCCAGAAGTGAGGGAATAGCCTGCTGATGGGGGAAAGGCTGTGGGATGTGCTGATTGAGCTTCTGCCTGAGAACAGCCCATTGTTGATGCATTGCACAAATGCACCATTCCTTGCTGTGTCTCCGTTTCCAGCATGTTGTAATGACTCCTCCCTGTTCCCCTGGCAAGAGGGGAGTTTGATGTGCACTCTGGAAAGGGTTAACCTTGGTCCATCCCTGGAACTGTTCAAGGCAAGGTTGGATGGGGCTTGGAGCAATCTGGTCTGGTGGAAGGTATCCCTGTCCATTGCAGGGGGGTTGGAATGAGATGATCTTTGAGGTCTTTTCCAACCCAAACCATTTTGTGATTCTATAAAACTCAAAGCTCCTGCTCTACTCTCTTGCTAAATTCCATGTCAGGGGGATGCTCAGGAGCAGAGATTTGGTTCTGGATTTTTCCATCCCAGTGAGAGCTTGCAGCTTCCCCGTGGAGATGGGGCAGCACACTCTTGACCTGGTGTCCCCTCTGAGGAGGGGAAGGCTTGCCCCTGGCTTTAGGATTTTGCCTGTAATCCTCCAGAGCAAGCTGCAAAGTCATCGTGGCACTCAGCTGTTATGAAACAGGCTGTCACCATTAATTCCTTGTGCTGGCTGGGAGTGGGGTTGGAGTGTGGGAGCTGGGGCAGACCAGCCCCTGGGCATGGTGTGGGCAGGGCAGGTTCGGATGTGATGCTGCATTAGCTTTCTTGGCCAGGCTCAGCACTGAAGTGTTTGGTACCTGCCTTTGGGAAGCACTTCCCTCTGATCCATGATTTATAACTGGCCTGAAGAAACCCCAGTTGCAGGGAACAGTGGGATGGATGGATGGATGGATGGATGGATGGATGGATGGATGGATGGATGGGAGCAGGGTATCACAGCTCTGACCTTGCATAGCAGTGGGAGCCCATTAAATCATGCACAAATGGCCTAAATTCCATTCTCTGTCTTAAAAAAAAATTCATATCTGAGGCCAAGAGCTGATGATTGATGCTCATTAACCCTTTGCTTTGGCCAGGCTCCCCGGACTGCACCAGCACACAGTATGGTCAGCAAGGGGTGGGCTCATCCTGCCCATCTCCACCTTGGCAGGATCCCAGCTCAGACTGGGAGCACCACCTCCACACTGGAGGGAGATCTGGCTCTCCCTGATGTCATGATGTCAAAGGACACAACCCAAAGGGGAAGGCAGTTCAGAAGTGCCACTGTGGTTTACCAGGGAATGTGCTTTATCACAGGGCAGAGAGATTTACTGTAGCTAATCTCCCCCAGCGTGATTTTATGCATTACAATGTTGGCTGAGATTTTGGCCATTTGGCAACAACAGTTGGTCTGGCTGCAGCTCACAGCAGCTTTTCCTGTGAATTTGCACACTCTGTGGCAAAAATCAATCATGTTTCTATTCTGCTCGTAGCAACCATCTCTCATTTCATTTTCTTTTAACCCATTCCACTCCTACACCTCTGTCACTCACACAGCAATGCCCTTTTCCACCAACCAGCTGCCTCACAGGTTTGATTCATAGATTAAAATTATAGAATCAGAGAACCATTTAGGTGGGAAAAGCCCTCTAAGATCATCTAGTCCAACCATTCACCCAGCACTGCCAAGCCCACCATGAGACCATGCCTCTAAGTGTGCATCACTGTGAAACCATGGGAAATAGAACAAGATCTCATAAACAGACCTTTTTCAATAACTGCATTAAGATTAGGAAATGGGATAAGTATATAAACATCCTCTCAGTGATATTTAGTGTGACAAGAAGCAGCTTTCCACATTTCTGTGCAGTTCACCATGATTTCCCAGCAGCAGTGCAGGACTGTGGTGTTGCACGGAGAAAACCTCATGGGATGCTGGCTCCAGGTCCTGCCCATCCAGCCCCACTCACAAATTCACTTCATGGCTCTTCTTCCAGCCTTTTCTACACCCTGTTGAGGAACACGTTGAGAACAATATCTCATTTCTCCTGTATTTATTAGTGACTAGGTCATGGCTGTCACTGAATTTAGGGAATTTTGCCTTCAACATTTGCCATGTGACCCTCTGCCGGTGTGAGCTTGGGAGGTGTCCTGGAGGGTGGGTGGCCATCACCAGTGCTGTGGGCTTGGATTTCTCACTTGGTTCTTGTCTCTGTGTTGGCCAGATGGGGAAGGGGTCCTTCAAATACGCCTGGGTGCTGGACAAGCTGAAGGCTGAGCGTGAGCGTGGCATCACCATTGACATCTCCCTGTGGAAGTTCGAGACCACCAAGTACTACATCACCATCATTGACGCACCTGGGCACAGGGACTTCATCAAGAACATGATCACTGGGACCTCCCAGGTGAGAAATGGGAGCCAGGGAGTGGAGGGCTGCTGAAGGTGGGGGGCTGAGACTTACTGACAAGCCCAGGGTCACATAGGTGCTGTTTTAGTCCTTTAGGAGGTGGGTGCTAGAGAGACAAGACATAGAGGAGCATTGAGCAGGGTCCACCCATGAAGATGGGTGACACCAGGGCACCCCGCATGCCATAATTTGGAAATTCCCTGGGCATCTGGGAGGAAGGGTGTTTTGGGGAGCAAAGAGGTGGTTTCTCCGCCTACATGAGAAGGTGGGGATGAATATGGGCCTCTCTGGGAGCTGGGATGCTGTGAGCTACATGCCTTTGTGTGAGGATATCTCCACATTATTTTATCCTCAGCCAAATGAGGTATACAAGAAACTTTCAACAATCCATTATGTTTTGTTGGATAAAGGAGACTCCACAGATCTTTCCTCCTTTCTTTTCCTTGAAACAACTTTGTCCCATAAGCCACATCATATTGCCAAACTCAATGGTCTGCCCTTCCAGGATGGGGTGGTTTCCCCTCATTACACTGCTGGACATTCCTGCATCTCCCTGTGGTTGATGGGTGCTGGATGAACCCCACTACATGTCCAGCGAGATTCCCATGGTGATGCCAGATGGGCTGGGCATGGATTTCTATCAAATCCAGGCAGCTTCTGCTGTGGGCTCTCGGTACAGAAGTAATTTGGGAAACATGGTTCCCATGTCTGGAGTCTTACCCGTCACCCAGGGAGGTTATTTGCAAGACTTCAGTAGGTTTTTAAATGAGACCTTGTCTGTGGATAATCAAGATGAGGTCCTGGTTGGAGTCATACAACCTCAAGGGATCCATCCTGGTTTCCCACCCATGTTGCAGAAACATGTGGATTTGGCAAGTCTGAAACAAGAAGGTTGGGTCAGTTCTGAGGTGGATCAGCAGGGTTATGGGTAGCAGCTGGCAGAGAGCCTGTCCCAGCCATGAGTAGCACTCATCTGGGACTCACTCAAAGCCCTCAGGGGTGTCACCAGGGACAGCAGCACTTCATTAGCTCTCTCCTCCCAGGCTGACTGTGCTGTCCTGATCGTCGCTGCCGGTGTGGGTGAGTTCGAAGCCGGCATCTCCAAGAACGGGCAGACCCGTGAGCACGCCCTGCTGGCTTACACCCTGGGGGTGAAGCAGCTCATCGTGGGCATCAACAAGATGGATTCCACAGAGCCCCCGTACAGCGAGAAACGCTACGATGAGATCGTCAAGGAGGTCAGCGCCTACATCAAGAAGATCGGCTACAACCCAGCCACGGTTCCCTTTGTGCCCATCTCGGGCTGGCACGGAGACAACATGCTGGAGCCCTCTCCCAATGTAAGTGTGTGTTGTGTTAGACTTCTCTCCCCACCCTGATGAACCTGACCCAGGCTGGCCATGACCTCCGTGCTCTGAAAACATTTCAGGCACCCGTTGGGCACAACGGCCCGTGCTGGCAGCAGAGATGATGTGCCATGTGGCTCTGATTGACCCCAGGCAGGATGAATGGGTGCAGTATTTGTGGGCACTCTGGGTGCTGTACCCTGGCCAGACAGCCCAGGAGCTAGACATGAGCATCTTCAGGAGATGATCTGTCTTGCTTTACTTCTGGGCTGGGATTTGAAGTTTTCACATCATCAGTCTCATGGTGACGTTGGAGCCTTCCCCTGCAATTGTCACTCTCAGCAGGAGCATCGTGTGTGTTTTTAGGGCATTGTTTTCTGAGGGAAATAACACGAGCTGGTCTCAGGCTTGGAATGGTTCCCACTATGCAGCCTGGCTCCCTCGTGCTGGGTATCAGGTCCCTTTTCCCATCGATCCTGTGTGCCACTGGGGTGGCCTCATCTCCTGTTCCAGTGCTGGATCTCACTTCTTAAGGTGACATTTTCTTGAGGAGGTACCAGATTTCCCATGCCCAAACCATGATTCCCTAGAGCATCCATCTGGAGCTGGTCCTTGTCCAGCTGATTTTTACAACACCTCTCCCTCTGTAATGGGGATGGTGGGGAGACAAAGGCAGGGTGCTCTGGGTAGGCCTGTGCCATCATTTCATGTGACAGAAAGAAGAGCTTAAGAGGGACAGAGGCTTCTTGGCAGACAGGCTGCTGATAACAGTTGTTACTCTGACACTGTTTTATTGGAGAAAAAGCTACCTCAGCTTTAGTCTACTAAAGAAAAGATGGGCTGGAAAGTTCTGGCCAGAGGAAAGTCCCTGCTCTTCTGATGACGTGTCTGTGACCTTGAACAAGTTGCTCAGATGAGAAACCCGAGTGATCTCTTGTGAAACCAATGGAAAATTTGATGCTTTAAGGGGGCTCAAAGACATCACCTGTGGATTGCTGGGCAGGGTTTTGTGACGAGGGAGGCAATGCAAGAGTACAGCAGCAACTGAGGGAGTCAGGGATCGCAAGCCTGAGCTAGAGGAGTGTGGCAATGCAAACTCACACCATCGTGAAATGCAGCTCCTGCCTTGCACAGGAAAGGCAGCTCTCTTGGGCTGGCTTGGAAGGAAGGAATTGTTGGGGTGCTTGGGAGATTCCTATCCCCTGCAGAGCAGAGCTGGGATAAAGGTCAGCCAAGGCCGTGCCAAACCCAGCCCCGTGGTTCCTGGGCATCTCAAAACAGGCAAATCCCAAATGTCATCAGCTGCTGGGCTGGGAAGATGATCCTGAACAAATATCCTATTAATAGGCTGTAGAGGGGAGGCACAGAGCAGGAGGGGCTCAGTGGCCCCTTTCCTTTGGAGGGGTCTCAGGGCAGGTTCTCAGTGTGATGTGCTGCCCAAGAGAAAGCAGGGGCTTAAATAACTCTCCCTGTTGTCATAAGGAGGCAGCTGGCTCCTGGGTGGGTTCCCAGGAGCTGCCTGAGGTAGGGAATTGGGAAGAAAGCCTGGCCTGGTCTGGAACAGCATGAAATTTGCTGGAGAGGGTGCAGGGACAGACTAATCTTCCCCATATTGCAACACCTCTAGGCAAGCTTGAGCAGGAAGCTGGTGTAGATATCTCTCTTCTCCTTCCTCACTCGAAAAAAGCTCTGATCCTTTTCACTCACAATTTCTGGACAGGTTTCACTGAAGCACAAGGCAGTCAAGTGACTTGTCTGTCAGGGGACTTATCAGAAAGTGGGGATTGGAGCCATGACGTCCCTGCAGCTCCTGTCACCTCTGAGAAAGGGGGGGTGTGGTGGTACATCAGGCTGGAGCCAGCTCTGTGTGGGAGATCCAGCCCACATCCATGTTGCACAGAATCCCAAGGCCAACTGCAAAAAAATGACAGCTGGGCCATGCTTCCATCAAAGTTTGACATTTAAGAGCTTTTTGGCAAACGGGGTTTTCTGTGAAGCAGCTTTCTCTTGCTGCAGCTGGCAGAATGGGGCCATTCTGTGTGGTTTGGGAGACTCAACCCATGGGATGCTGCAACACAAACGCACCCATCTGTGGTGCAAGGGAGTGAGATGGCCTGGCTCTGCATCCTCAGCACTGGGGTGTGTGGGTGGGGGTGCTGGATGCTCATGGGCTGGGGAAAATCAGAGAAAGAGGACTGCTCTGTAAAATAGACTTAGGGTGCAAAAGAGCTGGAGCTCAGCAGTTATTGTGGGGGGCTGGGAGCTGAAGCTTGCCTGCCTTGCAGGGTTTGCTTTTGCCATAGGAGTGGTGGAGTAGGAATTGCTGCTTGGGAAGCAGATTTGGGGAATACATAATAGAGGTTTTATCATAAGAGAGGTTTTATTTGGTTGGCCACAGAAGGCAGCACAAACCAGGGTTTGCAGTTTCTTCTCACCTTGGAGCCACACTGAGGTTTCACAGAAGAGCTTTGCTCCCAGCAGGTGTCTAAGCGAGCCTTTATCTGATTTTTGGGATGTCAGAACTTCCCTGGATAGATGGATGGCTCTGACAGCCAGGTGTCACAGGTAAAGGTTGCCATTTTCCCATGTCCCCAAGCTGTGAGGGGCAGAGGGACGGGAGCTGCAGGCATATGGTGACTGTCACCCTCGAGAGCAGAGCCCGCAGGCAGGCGGCCGCCGGGGCAGCTGCTGGCACAAGTCCCTGCCCCGCATTTGGGCCATGCAGCAGCAGGCTGGGGGAAGGTCTGAGTCATCCTGTGCATCACATGAGGCTCCCTCACTGGCTGGATGGAGTTATCATTTTGCCAAGCTGTTGCCTGGCGCTGGGACTGGCTGCATGGCAAGAGCTGCAGTGCCCTGGGAAGAACCCACTGCAGAAGTGTCCTCAGGCTCCTGCCACTGTCACCAAGGAAGACAAGTGGTGTCAGGCATGACCCCCTGAAAGGGGCTGATCTGAACACCTTGGGTGCAGGCTGAGTTCCCTGGCTGCACCCAGCTCTTTTCCTCACTTCTTCCAAAAAGTAGTACAGATTGCAGGATAGGTAACCAGCCCTGGCATAGCCTTGTCCTCCAGGGATGGTGTGAAACTAGGGGCACTTTAGGGGTCCCGTTTCACCCCAACCCTATTCCTGTTGCACAGTGCCACTGGTGTTGGTGCCTAAGGGAAAAGCCATGTACACAAGGTTTATGATGGATTTGGGGCACATGGGAAGCATTTGACTTCAGAATGGGAAAATATTGTCTAACCCTCTCTGTCTGCAGGGAATGGCTTGCAGACTCTGATCTCTGCTTGGTGTATTAGGGTTGCATCAGAATCAAGACTGAATTTTTCTTGCTGGAAAGCTCCAGGTGTTGCTACAGCTTCCAGATGTGCAGTGTCACACCAAGAAAGCACTGCAGTTTCCTGCATCAAACCACAGCTCCTGCCAAGCACATTTCCATTCATCTCTGCTTCTTTTCTGGCCA